TTAGAAAAGTAGTTTTATATTCATGTCTATCATATGTAGCACTCGACTGCTAGTAACTAGTCAACATTGATCACAGTTATACACAGACTGCTGGGGAATCCCATGGAACAAATGATTGAAGGGGAGGCCCAGTAGGCTGCAATGGGTCATGTGAGTCACAGGACCCTGGGGACCTTTTCTCTGAGGGGGAGTGAAAGCTCAGTACATGCAGAGATGTTGTAAGGTGTGTGCTGTAAATCTGACATTACAATGACCACATATTGGAAACTTTTATACAACTTCTAATATTAACCCCTCACATACTCCTTCTCGCTGTTTAGTGTTCTTGTACGTATATAAATTCATGCGTACAATGTGTAGGCATTAAAATATGTACTTTTACAAGGACAGAATTTTTGTTCTTTGCTTTGCAACTTGCAGCCCGAAAACCACCATTCACATCCTGGAGACACAGCACAAATGACTTGAACATGGGTGGCAGATAGTGAAAAAGTGACCCCCGCAACAGCAAGGTTTTCATTTCTTATTACGCTTTAGTCATCTTCTAAACACCCCAAGCAGGATTTACTAATAGTGAATATTCAAACTCAATTTTATTACATCATACCATTGAATCTATCTATCTATCTATCTATCTATCTATCTATCTATCTATCTATCTATCTATCTATCTATCGACGCTGGGGTGGGGGGGTTTTTAGAGGAAATGCAGTGTGCTGTGTTATCAGGTCAGGGAGCGCACAGTCAAGGGGGTCACCGTCTAAGATAGGGGTTCCTGTACCTCTATGGAGATACCTATTCCTCTGTGTGTATGTTTGTGATCGGTATCTCCTCTGTATGTGTGTGATTGATGTCCACTCTGTGTGTATGTTAGTGATCGGTGCCCCCTCTGTGTACATATGTGTGATTGATGTCCCCTCTGTGTGTATGCAGGTGATCGATGTCCCCTCTGTATGTACCCTATGTATGTGATTGGTGTGCCCTCTGTGTGAATGTGTGTGATTGATGCCCTCGCTGTGTGTATGTGTGCTATCGCTGTTCCCTATGTGTATGTGGGTGATTGATGACCCCCTCTGTGTGTATATGTGTGATCAATGTCCTGCCAGCTTGCATGTGTGTGATCGATATCCCACCTCTGTGTATGTGAGTGATCAATGTCTCCTCTGTATCTACATGTGTAATCTCTGTCTCCTCTGTGTATGTGTCTGCTCGATGTTTCCTCTGTGTGTATGTTTGATCGATGTCCCCTCTGTGCACACATATGTGTGTATGTTTGATCGATATTCCCTCTGTATGTATGTGTGTCATCAATGTCCCCTCTGTGTGTATGTATGATCGATGTCCCCGCTGTGTGTATGTATGTGATCGATGTCGCCTCTGTGTGTATATGCGTAACTGATGTCCCCACTGTGTAAGTGTATATGTGCAATCAATTTCCCCTCTGTGTGTATTTGTGATTGATGTCCCCTGTGTGGGTATTTGTGTATTTGATGTCCCTACTGTGTGTATATGTGCAATCCATTTCCCCTCTGTGTGTATGTGTGTAATATCCTTTGTAGTACACCTATGTAAAGAAAAATAGCATTGTCCTATTGAAGAGTTAAGCTGCCAGTGAATTGCGTCAATTCAGCAAGTGGTAATGCTGTCTGTACAGACTGGTGTCTAACGAGGTATGTCACTGTATACAGTATATGGCCATTTGAAACAATCATTAAATAACTTTACATTAAAAGCATCTAGACTGGTGAGTGAAGCTCTTTTATTGTTTGTTAATAATATGTCATTCATTAGTTTCATGTCCACGGTCTGGGCACAGATGCACATGTTTGAAAACACATTTGTGTTTGTTTAATAACATACCACAAAGATCAGCCATGAGCAGTGACCCAGTATGTATCTTTTAAAAGCTTGTATAAGCTGGTTTCTGACTGTCCTCTGTGGGTTACTGCATACCGTACCTCTTTGCCGCATAAAGAGACTGTCACTTTATGAATGGGCCTGCAATAAAGGACACTGTGCAATGGACGCAAGCATTCGACCATCCTGGAAATGTTCAATATTCAAGAGTTTGCCGGAGGATGTAACCGTTGAGCATGCAAGAGTTTGGACTCACCGCCCCCTGGAGAGGTAAGTACTCAGTGGGGGGAATTTATCATAACTGAAGCAGACAAAATATGGAGCAGCTGTGCATGGCAACCAATCAGCTTCTCTTTTCAGTTTGGTCAGTTCAGATTTGAAAATGAATGAGAGAGACTAATTGATAGAAATGGGCAACTGCTCCAGATTTAGCCTGCTCCAGTTTTGAAAAAAATTCCCTTCTGTGTCTTTTATTGCTGGGACCATTCTTTGGGGTTTTGTTGTGATAAGTGACATAGTAAATTTATTTAACCCCAGCACTGGATTTACACTGAAATTTCAGAGAAATAAGAACTCCCAAGTTTGTTTATCCCTGCGGTGTTGCATTTTGGAATCTTGGCTCTGCAGTTACATGATCACTGAACTGCGGCTGTCATTGTAAATTTTTGCCAATTCGTCCAGTTCATTTTGCCTGGTAGAGATCATTGCAGAAATGTTTTCTTGCTGTCATCACATTGTTTGTTGTGCAGTTCCTTGGAAAGGGGGCAACGATAGTTCCCCAGATAGTGAGTATCTGTTGTCCGAAGACTGTCATAATTAGCTCTAGCCAAAAAAAGTTTAGAGCTCTCAATAAAACTGTAGAAAAAAATGAAGACAAAAGTGGAATTGCCCAGAGTAACCATTTAGACTTTGTATTTATTTATTTAATAAAATTAAATGTGAAACCGGATTGCTATTGGCAACAACTAATACTTTTTTTCTTGATGAATGTATCTAGTTTTAAAAGATCAGCTCCTATGTTGCAATGTTTGGAAATGTAAATGAAATTCAGCAAAAACGATTATTTTTCTTATTGCTGATTACGTGGCATCAGCAGCATAAATACAAAAGTAAAAGGGTTTTTCTTTCATTGCATATAACTTCCTACACCACTGTGATCTAGCTTCACTTTTGACAGCATTGCTTTATGAAAATGAAGAAGTAAAGTAAAATATAAGATAGGAATGAAATAAAATGATCTATGAATGTTCTTTATGTTGTCTTTCATGGATGACACTGCCCCAGACATATTTAGATTAAATTTACTATAATATAAAAAAACATACAGTAGAAGTATACAAAATATTTGTGTTAATTCTGTATATCCCATAATTACAATTTATTGAATGCTGTTTAAGCAGGTAAACCTAAATAACAATATAATACAAAAATAAAAACCAAATAAAACAAACTGGCCTTCATTTAAAGGGAGTATATTGCAAACAATAGAGTTTCTGGAACATGCAACAATTTGCTAATTGGATAAAACAGCTTGTTTCTGTCAGTTCTTTATACGTTTGGACAAATGTTACCGTGTAATACAAAATCCAGTCTGCGTGCAGCCATGTTGCCTTGAGGAAATTGTACACAGAATACTGTATCACGGCAATAAAGCAGCAAAAGGGTCGGAGATTAAAATAAAAAGATCTGACTGATTTTCCACTGCCAAACACTTGGCATCATGTATTTAAACAATGTTTGTATATTGTGCCAGAATCCTCTAAGGCAGGGGTGGGCAACTCTGGCCCTCCAGATATGTGGAACTACAGGTTCCATGAGGCATTGCAAGACTGACAGTTACAGGCATGACTCCCAGAGGCATGTTGAGATTTGTAGTTAAAGCACAGCTGGAGGGCTGGATTTGCCCTCCCCTGTTCTAAGGGTACATTCCTACGGACGGAAAAGTTAGACGTATGGACATACAGTGTAAATTACACCTGTAGTTGCGGTGCCCAGAGCCCAAGCTGCTGCGTTTTTGTGTCCATAGCTTAGTATGAACGTGATACTCTATACTTAGGTATACGCAAGTACCAGTTCTATTTTTCTGAACGCAAGACTTCCACTGGTATTTATGTTTACCCGCAAACAGTGTATTGTTTCCATACAATCCTATAGACACATAGAGGCAGCAGCAGGACTCCCTGGCGCTGTAGTATGTGATGCTGTATGCCCATACTCCTGTATTTGCATCCATGGGAATGAGCCCTAAAACACCAAGGGGGGAATTGATAAAAATGGAGCAGGCAAAATCCAGAGCAGTTGCCCATTGTAACCAATCAGCTTCTATCTTCAGTTTGTTCATTTAAGCTTTGAAAATGAAAAAAATAAGCTAATTGGTTGCCACGGGCAACTACTCTGGATTCTGTCTGCTCCAATTTTGATGAATTCCCCTCAATGATCTTCAATCACATTGGTGAATTTGCTTTAAATACCAATAATGTACAAACAGATACTATCCTTCCTAAGGCTAAATCCAGTTGCCTAAAGCTGTTTTTTTTATTTTTATTGACTACATCACTTTATATTTTGATTGCGTTTCTATTGTGTATCTCAATGCTGCAAGGATCGAAGATGTAAAAGCAAACCTTAGCCGCCATCATGAGTAAATGGAGAAAAGTTGATTTTCTCCTAGTTGCTGTGGGTTACACCACATCATTACTCTTTGCATCTTATGATTAAATATCTGTATTCTACAGAAAGTGACAGCGTAAGCATCTACTCTTTTTTTAATAATTACATCGCCACCTATTTTGTAATGATAGCAATGAAAGGTTGAGCGTTTGTGTTGTCTAGAAATAGGAGAAAGAATACAAAACTCTCTCAGAGCATAGTTCATCATACCTAAAAAAGTTATGGAAGTTGCAGTAAATTAAATGGATATTTTATAGCTATAGAAAAATCAGTAGTTTAAATAAAAATGACAAATTGTGCTTTCTCATTCGAAGTGTCACACACTGCGCCGAAAAGGCCCGTTAACCACATCACAGTTACAAGTAATGGTGTAAAACAGCTGTTTGGCTAGTGCTGTGAATTTATTCCACGAAGAACAGAATGCCCCGGGCCCTGTGGTCAGGAGTGCGGTGCACAGGTGTGGTATGGCTTACCTTGCGTCCTCCTGGGCTGCACCTGCTTTCTACGCTTCTCTTTGAAATCTTCAGACATGGTATATGTGTGGAAACATCCAATCTGTGCCGTACTTTCTGCAGCTTTCTCTTTCTGTCTCTGACACACAGACACATGCTGGGGAGTACCCCACTACTCCCTCTATGATGTCACATGTGGAGGGGCTGTCCTTGAATGATTCAAAACCCCACTATGAACTGCTGTCCAACACATATTAACCCTTCTCACCGACAATGACTCATAGGAAAGATTAGAAAGTCAGCTTTCTGCTAGTTTGCTGCATTCATTCACCTCTAACTGTCTACAGCAGTTAACTTGTGGAGGATATCGTAGCTGGTTATCATCAATGTTGGCACTGTAACAATGGCATCGGCGGTTTTATAAATCCCTGATGCATGTAGCTGGATGTTTGAAATAAGTAACTTTATGTATAGGAGCTGCTAATGTAGTTTATATGTATGCAAAAGTGATTGCATCTTCACAAAATGTGAGATGAACACATCTGATAGGATGCTAATTATAATCCGTCAGTATATGTTATCAGACACTCCATCTCAAAGTAAACCAGAGAGAAATACACTGAACTGCTAAAAATACTAGCTGCCTGACCGTTATGCTGACCCATCGGCTCTAAAGCAGAAGTCTGGAGAAATGTCACAACTACTCTTAAAGTGGGGCTCCGCGCCACCGCTCGTTTTTGTCTAGGGTACCAAAAAAATTGTTTCTCTTACCTTATCCTATACTACTCCTCCTGCAGCCGGCGTTCTCCTCATACCTCTGGCACCCAGAGTTGTGGTTAGGCCCTTGGCGTCCTTACTTACAATGAAGAACTGCTGGTGGTGCCGCATTGTATGTTATGACATCAGAGTGCCTGAGACCAACGGATCGGCGAAGAGAAGCAGCCTCGTGCGACTGGTCACACTGAAAGGAGGAGGATAAGGTAAGTAAAACTGCTTTTTAATGGTACCCTAGACAAAAATATGCATTTAACCCTTTCAGTACAGGGGAGCCCCACTGTAAAGGTAGTTTTGACATTTTACAGATTAGCTTTAAAGTGATATTAAAATCAAATGTTTTTTAAGCTAGTTCAAATGTTGATGAAATCACTTACAATGGATGCTGCTCCTTGATGTTTTAAAGTTTTGGTTTACTGCATAATTAGCTGCTTCCCTGAACACTGGCCATGATATCTTGTTTTAGGGTGGCTCCTTTCCCTTGCAGGGTCCTATGGAGCAACCCTTGTGTGTGTGCTAGTAAACAGACACAGCAGGGCAAACTACTCCCTTGCTGTCCCTTGTGATCTTGTACTGGACAGGAAGTTCAGGGAAGCCAATCTGAGAGAGTAGGAGCTGTTCAGAAACACAATGACTGTAAGTGCTTGGGCAAAACTGTGCATAAATACTTTGCTGGACATTATACTGTATATTTGTTTGGTCTAGATTCATTATTGAAAAAAGTTTGAGAGTTTAATACTACATTAATATAGCTTGAGTCAGTCACAGGAAGCAAGTATGGAGGTCAAAAGGTCAAATGTCAGATGTCCTTATCTGCTTGTGATCACAAATAAAATAATCTGGCCACTCAGTGTATATATATATATATATTTGCATCCCCTGCATACCTCTTCCTACACTGTTCACCTCTGCACCACTTGTATACCTCTTCTTACACTCTTCACCTCTGCACCCCCTGCATCCCCCTGCCAGGGAGTGCAGAAGTGAACACTGTAGGAAGAGGGATGCAGAGGGTACAGAAGTGAACAGTGTTGGAAGGGGGTTTGATGGCTGACACTCCTGACACTGTGGGCGGTGCAGGGGGCAGAGTCAAATGTGCTGAAAATCACCATTCCCTCTTGCAGCTGATCAGCACAGCCCAGACGAGCAGATGGGACCCTGATAGGTGTGCCCAGCAGACTGTCCACCCCTCTTGCCATGGTAACAAGCTATATTGACAGGCCCCTCTCTCCCTTCTATGAAGGGAAGGAAGGGAGGAGCCTGCCAAATTAACTGATTACCATGATAGGTGGGCGGGACCATCTTCCTACACTACAGGCTGCCTGTGCTGGGTTCAGGGCCCCCCTGCTGACTTGATGGGGCCCAGAACAGGAGGGCTACCTGTAACCAGGCCCGGATTTCCCACAAGGCCACCGAGGCCCGGCCACTGAGGCCCGGCCTCGGGGCGGCAGCGGTGACCTTGTGGGGAAGTTGCGGGCGCCGG